CTTACTCCCCTGTGCTTATCCAATAAGAAAGCCACAGTTTATCCAATATGGAAAAAAGGATATCATAACAACTTGGTGACAAGCAGCAAGTAAATGATGCCAAAATTGCATATAAAATCGAATACAAAGACAGGAGACACCAAAGGACAAAATGATGTGCTTCTCATGCACTCCACATCTACCCGTCCGAAGGCCAACTAATAGCTGGAGAAAACACTTACCGAAATTTCATTAATCCTTGGAGTTGTTTTCTTGTTGTAAGGGCATATTAAGACCGACGGAAATGCCAGCTAACTGGACATCTCAAGAGATTAAAATAAAAACTAAAAAGAGGCATTAGAAGCTTTAAAGTTTAAACACATGACGAAAAATTATTAAATTACCAGCAAAATATAATATCCATATAAATTAAAGTTGAGCTTATTGAAGGCATAAAAGATCTGCTTGTTAGTTGCTACACTCCAATACATAAATTGCATTTTACCACCCCAGAAAAAAGAACGAGAGAAAGAATGGCGCTCTGAATTTAAGGGGAAACTATGCTGCTTCGACAAACCAAGCAGGGCCCGAGGACGAAAAGCATCATCAAGGCATCAGCCACAATCTCCCAATCATCCAAGCACCCATTATCATAATCATCCCCTCATTGTCTTCACTCATGCTACCCGGAAAACATCCATTAATACTACCAATGCTGCTTTGGCTGCTTCATCTACCACTTCCAGTAAAATTGACTCCTGAATTGTCAATGCACAAGACACTGGACAAGTAAATACAACTCCACAAGACAAGTCCAAAATGAATAATCTTTGTAACCCAAAAAAAAAAAATTGATCAAAAAGGGGTCCAATGTAAACAACCAAACAATGCTACTATTGTATTGCATCAGTTTCTCAGTATCACTTCAGAAAGCCCAGCACCCAAGAAGAATCATAGCCAATTGCGTGCATAGAAAATATCCCTTAATAATTGGTTCCTAGAAAATCATGTTGCTATTAATAAACGCAAGTAGAAAGACTTACTCTAAGGCCTGCCATTGTAGTACCATAATTCTTGTACAGTAGATTACACAAGTCATTGATTTTGCTCTCTTCTATGCCAAGCTTTTCGACCATATAATCTGTAAAACATATACACAACAAATCAGACACCATTTAAACATAACATAAATTTATTGAACAGAAGACACTAACCAAATAGAAGACAATCATATTTTGATCTCTGAACCTGCCCATATCGATGCTCGTATTCCATCTTGATCTTGAGTAGGTAACTGAAATATGTAAAATTCAGATTTAGACTCTATATACAAGTTGTCATGGCAAGGAATCCTGCACAATTCCTTGACAAAATCTGTATAAATGGACAAATTGGCAATTTCATAATCACTTCTGTATGTTGAGCCAAATATCAAAAAAATTAAAATTCCAAAAAATAAACTAAGAAACAAATTCATCAAAATAGAACCATTCACGAATTTGAAATCCAAGAAATTATCACTTTCTCTGACATTAATATGTGCAAAAAATGGAAATACTAAAATCAAAAACCACAAGTCCTCAAACCCATAAACAAAAACTCACATTACCTTCAAATTTAAATGCATTAATTCATTAAACCCATTAATCACCTAAAACGAACATAATATACATATGCACGGGTGCTTAATTTAAACCCTGCTAGAGAAAATTAAACCCAAGATTGGAACATACCGGAATTCGAATGAGGATTGACATAGCAAAGAATCAAAGGGATAACGTGGAAACAAGAAGAGAGAAACTACAGACTGCAATTTCTCTAAACAGTGATCGAAGAATGCAAAGAGAGGGCGAGGAAAAATGGAGGCATCAATTGAGTTTAAATGGAGGCCTCAGGTCCGGCCCTATCGCCGGCGTCGAGAAGAGAGAAGCCGACGGGGGATGGAGAGAAGAAGAGATGAGACTTTGAGTTGAGAAGAGAGGAGCCAGGGACAAAGCTCAAAATGGTGTTTCGCGTGTTTTGCAATTTGTATGTAAACACTGAAAACGCTCAAAATTAGATTTTTCTCGTTTTGGGTTTTTAGTACAAATTTTTTTTTGTTTTCGAGAACGCGTTTTCGAAAATAGGAAAGAGAATGCGTTTTTACTGTTTTGAAAAATTGAAAACAGAAAACGATCCGAAAACTGCAAAGAGAACAGGGCCTAATTTTTCCACCCAAATTTCTACTTTTGAAATATTTGATTGACAACTTTTTACATGTAAATATTGTTCAACTTTTGGTCATGTGATTATACTTTCTTTAAAAACAAGGAATGCATTTTCTTTAGGGTGGGTGATTTTTATTTTTCAGATAATTTACTCTTTCTCTCTCTCCCTCTCTCATCTGTCCACCAATAAAAAAATGAACAAGTATAATATTTTTTAAATTGAAAACCAAATCAATCAAACACATTTAATTAATAATTTTCATACAAATAAGTTCTAAACAATTGAATTATCTAGAATTCATTTTTTTTTTCCATATAAATTTCATACTTGCAATCAAATGAACCATAAGAGTCGATACAAATTACAAACATTTGCATGACAAAGCAGTACAAGGTATAAGATTTTAGTTATATCTAGCGTTATACACTTCCCAAATATACTCTCCTTTTCTTTTCCTTTTTTACCATCTTCCGCATCCTATTGCTTAAGTGTTTGTTTGGTAGTGCTTATGAATTGTTGATCTACAAAATGTGCGAATTATGTATAATAAGTTATCGATCTTACAAAATGTGTGAATAAAAAATATATTTAAAAAACCAAATTCCTGTACATTTCCATCTTGACCTTCCAAAAGGAGAGATCTTAACCTCTGAAAGATACTTTAAATAAAAACAAAATCAGAAGATTGCTCAAAGTCTCAAACGGATTTGAATTAACTGGTTAGGATCCAACCCAATAACTTGTAGAAAACCAAAATCAAAGGAAACGTTCAAAAGAACGTTTATGGTCTGAAATTACACTTGCACCTTAAATAAATCTAATGGTATGTTTGATAACACCCATTTTCCATGGAAAATGGAATTTCTTTTCATTTTCCTTGCAAATGTATTTTTTGATGCCCAACTTTTTGCCTGGAATTTGTGCCAATTATTTTCCACTCACG